GTTTTGTGTTGTTTGGTGTGCTAGTTTTGTAGTGTTTTAGGGTCATTGCGGTTCGAGGTGGTTGTTGTGATGACGATTTTCGTTCTTTCTGTTCCACAAAGTTTCAGCGCATGGTTTTGGGGATGGTTTCCTGCATCCCATATCTGTGTATTTATACATAAGTCAACAAAAGTCAGCAAAGTAAAACACATTGGGACATTTTTAATTCCGCAATTGACATGAACTGATGGTTTCAAAACATATGACATGGAGATCAGGAGCGCAAGTCTTACATTTCGCACATTACGAAACAATGCATCATATGCAATGAAGCTGTAAGATCATGCATGCACTACAACACACCCCGTTGCCAAACATAAAAACAAAACTAACAATCCATAGGAAATATGAAACAATAATGTACAACTGTGATGATGTGACTCACATTGAATGTGGACTCAAAGAACACAATCATACAACGATCGGGAAAAAGCAATGCAACTGCTGCACGAGTCGTAGAACATGTGATATACCACTTAAATCCTTGCAAACACAAATGTATTGTCGAACGAGTACTCGTCCTGTGACTCCTATCCACTCACATTAGAAAACTATATACTCTCCATATGTACAGACGTCATCCTCATAAAAAACAAAAAAACAAAAAGAACAGTTGTCACTAGTATACATGTCTCATAAAAGCGAAGAAATAAAAATTGTACCACAAAGAACCTCCGCGAAACTAAAGTACGTACGAGTCCAGACTCCTGAGACTACACACAAACTGTCCGACGCCTTGGACTACACAGGAGTCCTGGGAAGGCGAAAAAAAAACACATAAATAACTGTGAAACTAAAGTACATATGATAAACTACCAAAAGACAGCGACCAACGAACCGAACAATGGGGAACATCCACATAAACAGGAGGATATATGTACTGCCCCCCGCCCCCGCCTCCTCGTCGTCGTCCCCGTGTCGATGGTGTCTTATGTGTCCTTGCCGCGGCCGATCGCTCCCTCTCTCTCTCCCTGCGCCTTACAACCTCGATGGGCTCCTCCTCTGTGTCGACCTCTGAGGCACGCGCCGTCGCCAACCTCGTGCGCTCCCTGTGCAATGTCTCACTCAACTCCCCTCAATCGCGCCTCGTCCTTAGCAATACGAGACTGTATCTCGTTAATGGTGGTGTGAGATCGCTCTCCACTAGGCGCCGACACACCGTCCTCTCCGGAAGTATACAACGCAGGCGCGACCATGCATGAACCTAAAAGTAAGTCTTTGCGCGCGCTGTATCTAGGCATGCCGAGAATGTGATAAGCAGTCCTCAAACTCGGTGCCGGTCTCTGCTCCTCGCTCAACCCTGCCTGATGCGCCGCGAAATCAGCCCGCACACCGTCATCAACTCGTCGCACTGTGCTCCACAAACGGTGAAGCGACTGCTGTGTGTCTAGGCGGGGCGATGACGACGACGACATGTGGCCTCTCTCTCTCTCTCCCTGCCCGTGACAGTTGTCGGACTGCGGCGGACCGTGGTCGGTGGAGGAGGTGTAACTGGGGGGATGTGAGTCGTGCGTGCACCCGAAGCCGCTGCTCTAATAGACTCTGAACGTTGCTGCTCGCGTTCCAAGCTCGCAGGAGAGCCGGAATACAAAGGGCTCAAAGGTGTGTACAGCGGGGGCGAGTGAACTACGACACCGACAGATCCTGCAGGTCGTGTGATAATCGGATCCTCCATCGCTGCACGGTGCAACGCGTCAGGGTCAAGTAGGCCCGGTGTAATCTCCCCCTCCTCCATATCTGCTCTCTCTGGGTCAGTACGGTCATCTGCCGTACCGCCCTCCCCCTCCTCATCAACACCACCTCTACCCTCCGCAGGATGTGACGCATCCTCGTGCACGACCGGTGAAGGATGACGCAACACCAACGCCCACGACATATTGCCTCCAGCGTCGTCTACATGTGCATCGCCCTGTACAGGTCCACATGCGTCAACCCCAATCGACCAGTGTGTCGATCGACCTGGACCGGTGTTGTGCGCAGGTGCAAGACGGTCGGCATCACCCGCCCCATCATCGCCCTCCGCATCGGGTATGCGGCCTCCATCCAACTCGCCTGAATTATCGTCCATGGGAACTGCCTCCTGAGTGGCTGGATCGCCTGGATGCAATGTGCCCGCCGCACACAACCCAACTATGACGTTGGACACAGTCGGATCGCCATACTCAGACGCACCTAACTCTCCTCCCACGGCAGACCCGGAGTCCACATCTCCCTGGGGCGACGTCTCAGGCACTGCGGTATC